TCAAGTAAATAGCACAAACTACCCTGGCTTCCTACATTCTTCTGCATAATAGGAATTTAGTATTTTCCATTCCATATATTGTCTGCTTATAAATGAAATATGCAGTCTAGTCTAACATTTTCAAACCAGCCGTCGATTTACAAAAAAGGAAAAAGAAATAGAAATGTCGTTTGACTTTTCAAACAAATGTTGTGACCTACAGTTTATGTAGAGCAATGATTGAATTGGCTTGATTTTAGAGTGCGCCGCAAGCTTGCTTTCCAAAACAAACCATTACCCTGTCTGCATACAAATTTTCTACAAATTAAATCAGTCCCAAAGCATGGACCCCCATGCGAGGGGTACTTTGAAGCCCAGTTAGGAGCATGTAAGCAATGAAAAAGAATATGCTTTCTAAGGAAAAAGACACAAATATCCTCAGTTAAGTTTTTATTTTTTATTTTTTTACTAAATCTTTAAGTGAAAATTATAAGGAAAAATCAGTTCAGTGCATCTCCAATGTCATCTTAGAGTCATGGCACTGAGACAAAGAATTACTGACCTATCATTAGCCATTTTTTACCTACCAAAATTGCTATCAGCTGGTCAGATGGCTACTTGGCGGAAGGGATATTTTAAAAGGGGGGAACGACAGGTGCTGATATTGCTTAGTTGGTTGAGCAGCTGACCATTACACTGAAGGATGTTCAAACAGGTAAAATACTGCTTGCTGCTCTGACCTGGGTATGATCAAGCTCCAGACCTATTCCTGCATGTCATTCACCCTCATTCTTACTACTTTCCTGTCTACTCTCTGCACTGTCCAAGCCACACAAAGGCCCAAAAATTGACACGGCATTAAAAGAACAATTGCATAAAATGCATCATAATTTCTATATTAACATATTTTCTCCATGTCTAGTCTTGGTTTGAAAATAGTTCCCAAATGAAAGTTCCGCCTCACATTTGTGAAGTCTATGGTGAACTGAGTGACTGCAAGGTGCTGCAAAATAAACCCAAATCCTCACCCTCCTCTTTGACAGTTGGTATGAGGCGTTTGTCCTGATATTTGCTGTTTGGTTTTCTCAGAACATGGTGTTGTGCATTATGGCCAAACATCTCCACTTTAGTCTCATCTGTCCAAAGGAAACTTTTAAAAGTCTTGTGGTTTGCTCAGATCCCACTGTGCATACCTAAGCCATGCTGTCAAGTTCTTTTTAGAAAGAACAGGCTTTTTCCCAGCAATCCTTCCAAACAATCCATTACCTGTTCAGTCTTTTCTACTTATGCCATGATGAAGTGACCTGGGTGATTTTGCCAGCCAGGAAATTTTAATAGACCAGGTCATACTTGCTGATGATTAGTTGATCAAGTTCATTTGATTAGCAGTGCCCGTCTGCTACTTACCCCTCTTGACTCCTATGAAAGAAGTAAGAGTGTATTGAATTGGCATCCATGCAGCTGTGTGATCACAACCAATATGACCAAATTGGCTCAAAATCAATTATTTTAAAATAGGGAATAAAAAGCAAAAACAGATGTATTTTATTTCTTTATTGGAACAGTCTGGTGGCATTCTTGCTTTGTAATAGACAGTCTGACCTCTGTAAGTGTCAACATCATAAATGATATAAACATCAGTCTGTCTATAGCACAGTTTTTAGCACTATGCTGCCATCAGTTTTGATTGGTGAGATACTGTCCAATAGGTTCCTTAAATGAGCTGTTTTCTCTTCAAGTAAAAATGTGCACCCAATTCTCACTTGCTGAATATTGTTTCAGCAGCAGAGGGTTACATTTGGCACGCCATATGAAAAAAGTCTTGCATACTATGCAAAAAAGCCATCTTCTTCAGCTACAGTTAGGTCCATCTATTTCAAAATACAAAATTTTGCTCTACAAGGGCCTGATATCCACTTAAAAGGGCATTATACTGCCACTGTTCTATCAAAATTTAAAACAAATGTCTTCATATGTGGATCTCATTTATCTCAGAAACAAAAATCAGGTAAAAAAAAAAAAATAAAATAAAATAAAAATCTGGTAATCTGTGTTTTTACATTCATCAGGTCCCAATCAGCCCAAATAGCAAAAAGAAATTAAAAATGTATGAAATGAAAGAGTTCCGGGGTTAAAGCTGAAAGTCTGCACTTCAATTGCATGTGAGTTGTGTCATTTAATATCCATTGTGATAATCCATTGTCGTAATCTCTTTCCAAATATATACGCACTTAACTGTATAAATTGCTTTTAAAACTGCTGGAAATGACTCATTTAAACACATACCTGGCTTACCTCAACATCATATCTATGTTAGTGTTTTGAGTAAATGCAGTCAAAGTTATCTGTGCAAATCCAAGAAAGATAAAAGCAAGGCTGCAACAAATAATAATAAATCTGCCAACATTTTTTCCTTGTTGTTTCGCTTTTTAGTCCGAGATCTTCAAGGTCCGCCAATGCTGCGCTTCGGTGGATACACCAAAATGCCCAAAAATGTAAGATCTATGACCTTAAAAAACTGCAACTTAAGGAATGTTAATGTTGACGACTGTGTTCCAAGTTAAACAGTTGGAATCACTGAGGTTAGTTTTTGTTTTTTGGTGGTTTATTTACTTCAAAAGATGATCAGGAAATTATCAACAAAATCATTTTTTCCAATAACTTATCATTTACCCATGTTTAAACCTGTAAAAGTTAGTTTTCAAATGGTGAAACCAGAAATAACCAGAAAGAAATGCTAAAAACTCTGATGTACACTAGAAAAATTGACTGACTTCCAAAATTGTTGCACTTAGTTATTGTCAGCAAATAAGACATGTCAACCACCCTGTATCGGGACAACAACCATAACAACAACAACAGCTGGTTACAGCTAATGGTAGGCTTAAATTTTACAAAAATCCAGCTTATCCAACAGGCTATATGTTTGAGGTGACTTCTGCAAAAGTGTAAAATATTGCAAAATATTTCACTGATAAATATCAATTTTTTGCTCCCAATTTATTGTCTAGTGTTGGCATTCTTCACATATATTATATAGTGTGTACAAAAATGTGTTCATACTTGCACTGAAATGTAAACTGCCTAGCCTCTATACTACACATGCTTCCAAATCCCAATGAAAAACCATTAAACATTCAAAAAATGCTGTTGTGGCCCTTTAAGATTCCCTGCTTCTCAACTGAATACCCTGTTAAGTTCCAGCCCATTGTTTCCCAACCATCTGTGAACACCCAGATCCAGGATGTTTACCAAGAGTAAGAAATAACCTTGGACTACACACAGCTCCTCAGACATTATGACAGAGATCTTAGTGTATAGAAAGCACAGCACAAAGCTGTTTTTAGAGGTGAGAGACAGCCAGAGAATTGCTACCTGTAGTTGCCCTGTTCATTTATGTAACCAAAATATAGAAATATACATTTTCGCTGAGATAGAAGTATCCTCTCGCTGTTTTCTGAGCAAAACATACGATATTCCTTATGAATCTTTTAAAAGACATCAAATATACCACTAAAACAATATCACCCATGGACCGTCGGATCTGTGTAACTGCCTTTCTTAGCGTCTGTGTCATTGTTCACCTAATGTTTTCACAGTACGCTTTCTCTCTCAAACACGTTCACTGCCAGGCTGATAATTCCACATGAATATTCATCATTTATTGAACTCCGCTGGGCACTGTGTAATTTGGCGCGTGAATGTGGGTGTGTGTGTCCTCATTTCAACTTGTGAAACGCTATGGGAGGCCTCCTCAGACATGCTGGGATGTTCAGAGCAATGCACTTCATTGGCCTGAAGTTTTTTTCTTCTCTTTCTCGCTTCTATAAACTATTAAATCTAAGTTTAACTAACTTGTCTTCTTTAAAATTAAATTGACAGGCTATTAACTCTGTGTGGAGATGGCAAAGACTGGAGTCTTTCAAGTCAGCCATTTGTGCACTCTGTCTGCATACTGCAGAACTTAAAATAAATGACTTGCCCTGCAAAATTGAAAAGAACAAAACGCAAATCAAACCAATCTCACAGTGCATTTACACCTTAAAAATAAATTCAAACAAACACCTACACTGACAATATAATTACGATGGCACTCCCGAGGTTTTGTGGCAAATCTCACACTTGGGTCCTTGATTTAAATTAGATTTAATTCACCATTTTACTGCTAACAAACTATAGTTTGCAGGGTTTTTCCTGCACACAAGTAGTTTAATTTACTCAAGCCTAAATATATTTTTGGATTATAAAATGAACAAAATTAAGAGGTAAATGTATCTGCCACTCTGGCAAAGGTCTATTTTAAACCAGGATAAACTCTCATTTTCTCCTGGTCAGGAATAGATTTCGAAACAAAAAATGAATTTTCAATGAGGTTATAAGATAATAAAATATGACAGTGAACAGGTTTGGCCTTACATCAATGTACATTGGAGTAAACTAAATCCCATGAATGAAAGAAATGCATGGAAGTGGATGCAGTTTTTAAATACAATAGCTCATAACACTGGTACTGAAACACTGATTAATCACCATCAATTTTGATAAGCTGCCATTTTCAAGGAAAAACACCTTTTCAGCGTGATAGGCTGGTTCACCCTCCTAAACTTGCTTATATGTTACTTTAATATTTTAACTAGTTTGGGCTACTGGTGATTCAATCACAAAAGCAGTTAAGAGAATAATAGATAATAAGAACTAGATTACAAAGCAAGCATAAAATAAATTTCAAATAAATCCACGTTCAATACGTAGCCGCTGTGTCTTGCTTTACTTGACCTCAGGTTTCCCGCTGCCATCCTACAAACACAACCTTCAGCCTTCGTTAGAAGCTCAGTCCAGAAATTAAAATAATCACAAAGTATTCTAGTCAATAAAGAAAATTACTCGTTCAGTATTCAGTGGGAAATCAATGTTATATAACAGTTTGCTGCAGAACACACAAGTTGTGCGAGGGATCACTCTGGCTTGCAATGAGACATACTGCAGCACTCAAGTCAACGAGTACAGAGCACCGTGCTTACTTGATCTAGGGCTCCAGTCGGTGAGTCATGTGGTGGCTGTGGTGGCCTTGTCAGGGACTGAGCAAAGCTGAAGGAAGGAGGGGAGCCTGGGCGTGAGATCAGTGGTGGGCCAAGGGCTTACAGTCAAGAGGATGGAATGGTGATGGCGGTGGGGTTATGGCTCCACAGCCGGTCTGTCAAAAAGCACCATCCCAGGTGCAGGGAGAAGCCCGTTGGCCTCCAACTGCCAAGAAAACACAGAAAAAATGGACAATCACAATATGTTCATTTGCAATGTAGAAATTAACCTTTCACAAGTTATGCTGTACTATTGACAGTTCTATTTGCCATTTGTTAATAACAGGTCATTACTTTTGAATATTTAAAATACCAAGCAGCATTAAACAGCAAAAAAAAGTGATAGAACGTGTTCATTGCTAACAGAGGGAATAAGTCTGTGTGACATGGTGAGACTAGATGCTATTACAGGAGGAACATGCAAAAGCAATGACAAATGTAGAGGTGAAAAAAAACAGGGACAGGGTGAACTCCACCAGGTACAGCTGGCAACGTTACTACAACCATGGGCTGTTACTTGAGAGTGATTTGTAGTGGTTGATATTTAAAGAATAGTAAAATATAGTGACAATGTTTAAGCGTAATCATATGTGATCTGAACATAACACCAATACCACTGATGAAGTGAAAATGATTTGATGATATATTTTTTCTTTTTTTTTGTCATATAAGTAAATATAAGTTGAGTTGAGTGACCAAACACTAATTTTCAGACTGTTTGTTCTACTCTTATGGCACATTTATGCACACAAAGTCACTGCAATGAGGTGAACTGACACAAATTTGCACCAGGCATTGTAACTGGAGGCAAATCTGCATTTACACAAGTCGTAGACAGAGACAGAAAAGAAGGTAGGGCCTTGGAGAAAAGTGACAAATCGTATATCTCATGATATTCTGAAAAAAAGCCAATAAGAAGAAAGATGGTTTAAGGGCCCATCAGCTAAAACAGATTGGTTTACACAGAAGAAAAATTAAGGGGCATTGCCAAGACCTGGTGTAAGATAAATAAGGATTATTTTGAACTGTAAATCATGCAAAGCTAGTTTAAGAGGTTCATGTTGAAGGAAACCTTTAGCATTTCCATGTAAAAGTGATAACAACCCCGAAGAAAAGACTACATTAAATGAGATTTCCCCTCACTACCAAAAGACTGCATCTTATAAAACAGCAATAAAATTGTTGGGTGAATTCAAAATAGAAGCTTCTATGGAAGACATCTGGAGAATTAAAAGCAACCCACACCAGCTGCAGGGCTTCATTCATTAAATATATTAGAAATATTTAGGTTATTGCACTGTATAACCTAAGAGAAGCACAGAAATCTACTTTAATAATAACTTAGAGCACACACACAGAAGATAAATCTAAACAGAATTACCCTGCCCCTGACATTTGTGTTTCTTGCCTTGACATCCGCTTCATAGCTGCTCACAGCTGGCTGTTAACAACCCCGCAGGTAGGGACAGACTGATCACAGTAAAATCTGCGCACCATTGTGTCGACTTCGGTGGCTTTACATCTTGTAATCATAACAACTCGTCAACAAACAAACTGAGAACACAAATAACACTCCGACCGTTAAAATTCCCTATGCCATAACAACAGTCAACCAGCAACCTGGAGCTGGAAACTGGATCCTTTATGAAGCAAAAACACATTTAAATCCTTTAAAGTAATTCAGTAAATCAGTACTAAAAATCTAAAAACATGCTTAAAATATAATGGAAGAAAAGGTTTGAAGTGGATTATTCTGGTCTATATTGAGATTATTTAACATCAGCTCATTTTAGAAACGTGATGCATTAAAGGAATACTTAAAAGAAAATGGGACTTTCCTAAATTTTTAAAAAAAAGGAAAATAAAACATGAAACATATGGTATGTGTTTGACTTCATTTCCTTTATAGCACTTTCCACCCTCCCCAAAAGCCCAAACTCACTCCACAAGTTTAGTTTAGCTCAAAATAAGATGACAGAAAGAGAACCTCTGGTCAACAAGACCAGCAAAACCAAGGAGTCTGTTTGGAAACATGTTGGGTTCAAGGAATCCAAAAGTTCCATAAAAGCAACACTCGAATCATCATGTCAAAACAAGCTAGTCCAGTACTGACCAAAAAAAGAGAGGAAAGAAGAAGAAGCAATTATGATTCTTGCTATAATTGAGGTCAGACTGAGGCAAGTACAAAAGCATGTAGACCAGGGGTAGGCAACGCCAGGCCTCGAGGGCCGGTGTCCTGCAGGTTTTAGATCTCACCCTGGGTCAACACACCTGAATCAAATGATTAGTTCATTACCAGCCCCCTGGAGAACTTCAAGACATGTTTAGGTGGTAATTTAGCCATTTGAATCAGCTGTGTTAGATCAAGGACACATCTAAAACCTGCAGGACACCGGCACTCGAGGCCTGGAGTTGCCTACCCCTGATGTAGACCATCAGAAGTTCAATATCGCCAGTATCACCATCTATAGACAACATTCAGTCACTATCAAGTACAAGATCTTGTATATTTATTATCACATGCACCAGGTGTGAGACACTGCTATAGCTGTATTTCAGTGGAACAATGATCTATATTATTTTTCTGTCCTTTTCTCTGATTTCTTGTTAGTTTTACTGACAACCAACTTTGTAATTAAATGAATGATTTATTGACTGTATTGACCTTGAGTCAATTTACAGTAGAATGCCTCCCCAGTTTGGCTTTTTGGGTGTTGTGCTCTACTGAGATGAAGCCCCTGCCAGACTCAGGGTCTCATGCTAGAAGGATTACATCTCTTGGCTGGCTTAGGAACATCTTCCTGTCCCAGGCCAGCAGATTTGCAAACAGACATCTATAAAGTAGGCTCAAATTAACCAGTCTGATGACCCGGGGCCAACACTGGTCCACCAAAACATTTGATTGGAAAAGTTTAAAAATGTATATTTTTGGTTCCAGATTAGTCCATAGGTTAAGGTCCCTTGCCGATTCACTTGTCTTTAATACACATCTAATGGCACTATGCAGAAACACTGAGATCTATTGTTGGATTTGCACTTATTATAAGACATTATAAGATGTTATTAAATGGCTTTACTAGTCAGGCACACTTTAAAACTCCTGATTTAAGCTTAATACACTGGTTTAAAGGAAAGAAGTGTGGTAGGTTTATAGCACAAGACAAAACAACAGCATCACAGTGAAGAGTTTTATCTTGATGATCATGCTTTTATAATTGCTGGAAGTTGCCCGATAATAAAATTTTTATTGTTTCCTGTTCAGTCAAGGAGGGCACCTTGGTGCAAGAATTGCATGTCAGAGTTTTCTCTTCAAATACTGAACAATAAAACGTGGAAAGTTACAAACACTCGTGTTTGGAAGAGTCTCAAGTTTTGTCAGTATTGGCTGGATTTGAACGACTATCTGGATCTGATTCACTGGGTGGTTCTGCTCCTCAGCAGACCCCACTCTTCTGTTTCCATCTGTTCAGCTGACACATGGTTGACCTGTGCAACAGCAGATCAGTCTCTCAGTCTGGAGAACGAGCTGCTCGGGCATTATGAGTGATTTTCCTGACTATGGGGATCAAAAGCAGTATCAAGCTGAATCAATCTGCAGCCAGAGTCTGTGCGGCAACACAGCTCTGCGTAAAAAGGCAGCAGTGTGCTGATTTTAGACGTTAGAAACAGTTTCCTTGTTGTATGTGCTACACAACACGCATTTTATGTAAAGATCAGATAACACATGATTGTTGCCAGGCCCAAACACACCAGCTGATTGACTAGTCCTCTTAATCTGGACTAATTTTCAAACTTCAGCAAATCAAAAGCCTTCTAAATGCTTTAGACCTCTCCTGTCTCAGGCTTTTCAGTGTCTATTTAGAGTTTGATCAGATAGCATTTTACAGGTGTGAATTACAGCTCGTCACTGGAACAGCAGGCAAAATAGAAGGCGAGTTAACAGGTACATACCCATATTCAAGGGAGAACAATGAAGAGAGAAAACAGAGCTTCAACGTCAAGTTTATTTGATCCTCACTTCATCTGGGTTACTTAACAAAAAAGATAAATAAAATTTGCATACACAAGGTTTTTCCAGGCTTATAATGGGTCTTTGTGGGGAGACTACCCTCATCAGCAAGGCAGGTCCGTGTACATTGAATGTAATGAGTCTGCATTACCTTATCTGATGAAGAACATTTCCTGGTACTTCTAACCATCTTACAAAGAAAAGCATTGTTCGTATATCAGTATATAAACCCCTAATCAAAAAACTGGATTAAAAAAAAATATAACTTTCTTTTGACTCTGACGTAAACCTCTTTTGTTGGGAAAACCCTGAGATAAATCTTTAGCAAGTCTGTGTGTACTGAGCGTAGCCTGGATTTCAGTGTGGGATTTAATTGATTCCAGTAGATTCCAGCTCTCTTTAAGCAGAAAATTTACAGCAATCTAATAATTTTCAGCCCAGTGGTTGTACTGGTGCAAAATGACTGGCCAGAAGCACTGCAGACGTAGGTCAATATCCAAACCAGAAAAACACCTGGAGTGCTCCTGTTCTCTCCCTTCTTCTGCTTAGAAACTCTTCCTAGCATTCACAGACGGGCTTCAAAGATGTGACGACAAGCAAACCTAGGCTGTTAGGTAAAACTTAACTGGCTGCTTCCTCACTTAGATAATAACAGGCAGAAGAAAAAAGAAAAAAATGAGTGAAGTTAATGTTAACAGTGTCAATAATCCTCATCCTCAGGCAAGAATCACTAATGTTATTAAGGCGATACTGGGACTCAGCATGCAGAGGTGTTCAACTATGAACTCAGGGCAGTTACTTTCTTATTGTAATTCTCTGCTATAATGTTTAAATCTGTGTAGTTTATTTCTCGTTTATCTTGTTAAAAATAGCTTTCAGCTTCTGTTAAATTCCTCAAGATTTTCCTTAATTTGCTCTTTTCTGATTGGCTGCAGATGTTGCTAAATTGGCATTTATAAAACTCTTGTATATTTTACACAGAAAGACTGCACTGAATGAGGAGCCTTAAAACATGTATGAGTGAAAATCTCCTTATCCAATGAACATTGATTTTGAAATATGGATTTTAATGGCTAGCATGCCAAAGACTAAAAAGAAAGTGCCAGCTCATAGCAGGATTTTAACAAAAACTTATCAATACTGTTATGAATATGCAT